ATGCTTCTTAGATTTTTTTTATCAGTAATCAGAAAATTTCATTAATTAATGAAAAAGATACAAGTGAGCATCTCGAAGAGAGATAAACCCTCTTAGCTCTCTCCAAGATGAAAAAAGAATATGACAATTAGAGAACAGCCCAGAAGAGTTGAACCCTTCCCACTCCTTGCTTTGCCAAAACATTGGCAAAGGCATTATCACTCCTTTTAGCCCACTGCAACTTGATCTCTATATCTTGTGTCAAATACTTAAACTTCCTCCTTTCATTGACAAATTTCCACTAGCCAGTCTCATCTTTTTGCAACCAGTTAACTACCAACTTTGAATCCCCTTCTATGATCAACGTTCTTATATTCAGATCCTTGGCTTTTTAGATCCCTTCCATCATTGCCAAGATTTCTGCCCTCAAGGAGTCTCCCACATCTATTGGCCCCGAGTAAAGGGCAATAATTCTTCCCTCTTCATTCCGAGAAACACCTCCAATACCTAAAGGCCTGGATTCCCCTCACTACTAGCATCAAAATTCAGCTTAATAAACCCACTAGGAGGTGGATCCAAACCGGGCTGATAACACTTTTTGGAAGAGAAGAATCAGTCACCTCCTTCCACTTCCTAAGCAGGTAATTTGTGGAAATATCATCGAAACTTCTCAATGACTTAACCCAAGGGATCACTCTGACAATAATGGCTTCAATGATTGTTTGTCTGATCCTTTCCTTGTCTGAAAAAAATTTTTGATTCCTTTCTTCCCATATTGTGCAGCATACTTCTGTGCTTGTGCACCTCCAAAGAGTTCTCCCCCTTTTCTTCCTCCAGTTGAAAAAAGAGGAATGGAACAAGCCTTGAACATTTGGCAGGGGGTTCTACCTGCACCCAAACAAAGAAAAAAATCATTCCCAAATAGAAAGAACAAAAGGCTAGGAAATTAATAAGTGCCTAAGTGGTAGCAAGTCTCACCATCAACCTTACAAAGGATGCATCAATTTGGGGAAAGGCACCAATTTTGTCTTTTTCTTTGAAGAATATCACAAGTATTAATTCTTTCCAAGAAGACTTCCCAATGGAAATCCATTTTGGGGGAGACTTCCCAAAGCAGTGGAGAAATTGGTCCTTTCCCCAATTTTGTCTTTTTCTTTGAAGAATATCACATCAGAGGGTTCCAAGAAGACTTCCCATAAATCTTATGGCAGTGTGTGAAGGGGGTAGTGTTGTGGGGTTATGGAGTGAAAAATGGTAGAATCTTTGAAGAAAATCAGAAAGAAGTGGAGATGATGATTGAACTTACAACTGTAAGGGTTGCACATTGGGCTCAAAAGAGTTCAATGGGGTAAGCCTGAATGACCTACTAAGAGGGTGGAACATTATTGCGGGTTTTAATAACAGAGTGCCTCGAAGGGTGGTCGGAATGGATTTCACCAGGGGATGGAAGCTACAAACTAAAGTTTGATGGGTGCTGTATTTGAAATCCTGTCCTGGGAACTCTGGAGCGGGAGAAGTAGTTAGGGATTCTGGTGACAATGTAATTCTCCGTTTTCAGGGCCATCTGGGTTTGGAAACTTCTAGGGCAGAACTGTTGGCTTTAATTCAAGGCCTTGAACTGATAGGCCAGCAGGGATTTATTGAATATAGTGGTTGAGGGGGATTGTCAAACAGTCATTTTTTGGATGAATTCTCAGGAACAAATACCTTGTCAGTTTAGACAGTTAGTGAGATTGGATCACTCCTAATGTGTCAGCTTGAACATCTCATTCATCTGGGTACCCAGTAGCGCAAAAGGTTATTATATTCTATTATTTTTGTGCTATCTTTGGCCTGTGCTGAGGATCTATTGTAATTTCCCCTACCTGCTTTGGTTCTGAGCAAGTGTGGTTTCTTTTCTTATTTAATGAAATTCACCCTGTTGCTTATTGAAAGAAATGACTCTAAAACTTTAAACACAACTAATAAAACACTTAGGCTGAAACCTGCAGAGAATATTTAAATAACTGAAATACCCCTAGGCCCTACTATGTAAAAATTCACAAAATTCAAGTTTTGACTTTTGACTTGTTTGTTTTACTTTATACATATGTAGCATTAGATTTGACCTGCATATGAAGGGATAGAGAAAAATGGCAGTTCTGAACTTTTCCATAAGAAAAGAAAAAAAAATGGTAGTTCTTGTAGAAGGCCTCCAAGATTGTGTTAGAGATTGATCTTCATTTAAACTGATAGGTCTTTGGAAGCTCACACATTTAGGGGTCAAAATAAGTAACTAGTGCTATGAAGTACCAGATGATGCAAATTTAGAATATGCATAAGCTTGGCAGAAAAGGAATATGTTAACCATTTACACCACATTTGTGCTTCCTTTTTTAGTATCTCAGGCATTTAAATAAATATATTTCATTCTTTGGTGTTTTGGTAGAAAATATATTTCATTCTAATAAAGTCTTTTATTCTACCATAGTCTCAAAATAACAATGATAATGATGTTTGGCAATTTATTCTGGGATGTTTCAGTTTATGGACTTCTGGCTTTCCTTCATGGCTGTTGTTAGTACCTTTGTTTATTTAACCTTTATTGGCGAAGATTCAAAAAGGGCACTTCATACGTCTGTGTCAATTCTTACAGCTCTCATGGCTGCAACAGGAGCAACCAGGTAATGAGAAGTGTCAGACTTTGTTTTAGTATCTGTAAATTTTGTTTTGTAGGTACAGTTTGCTCTTAATAAGACAATTAAAATTGCAGGTCTTTCAATATAGTTATTGTCCTAGCTATAGGAGCTCTAGGTCTTCTTATTGGATGGTTGATAGAGTTCTCTACTACACATCGGTCAATTCATTGGTCACCTGGGTTCTGTTCGAATTGCCTTCATGGGTACGAACCTTTAACCTGTAAAAAAGATAGATATGTTGGGTAAATTCTGATATGAACACAGATATGCACCTCTCTTATGTGAGCATTAAATACTTTAAATTTGTTGGCAAAGGCTGATCTTCTATTTCTTAGTTTGGAAGTTGAGGAACTTATTTGGAGATTAAAAAGTGTATTTACTGGTTCGATCCATCATTGTATGAGAAACTTGCTTTTTGAGATGGTTTCTATTTCATTTGTATTTAGAATATTCCAAATTGTTTCTTTGTAGGGAATTCCATTGTCTAATTTCCTGTAATGCCATTAGTTTCTTGATTTGACATTTATTAGTTTGGAAGGCTCAGGAACTTATTTAGAGTTTAAAAAGTGTTTTTAGTGGTTCAATCCATCATTATATGAGGAACTTGCTTTTTTTTTTGAGATGGTTTCTATTTCACTTATATTTATAATATTCCCAATTGTTTCTTTGAAGGGAATTCCATTGTCTAATTTCCTGTCATGCTTAGTTTCTCTACTAGTTTCTGCAAATTAATATCCCATTTTTCCCAAGCCATGTGATGCTTTATTTTTTCTTGCAAACTGCTATTACTTATGTGAATCTTCTCTTATAATACCTGTTTGAAGAATCTATTACTGTCTTAATCTATCAAATCTAGGTTATGCTACCAAAATGTATCATCTTGCCTTACAGACAGTCATAGATCTATCCCATATTACTTATCCTCTGTAGTTTATAAGTTCTACTAATGCAGGTGGCAAAACATTGGAGAAAGGTTCCAGGGTCTTATCAAGACACTATTTAAACGTTTTCATTGGTTTTTTTCGCTCCTGGGTTGCATTGCATTGTCCATGGCTGCAATCAGCTGGAAACTGGAAAGCAGTGAAAGCTATTGGATTTGGCATAGGTGTGATGGAGACTATAACATCCTGTTCTTTCTGTTTGCATTTGAACCATACGGCATCCCACCTGACATCTTTACGTCTTATGGTTTTGCAGTTTGTGGCATGTGACGATATACACATCTTCTTTCTTCTTCTTATGCTCAAAAGTGACAGCTATAGATACTAGGAACAATGGACTCCCTGATGGAGAATATGCTCTGACGAGGCAAAATTCATTATCAAGAGGTGAATAAGCATAGAGTAAAAGGCAGATGCAAATCAGTTGACAACTAGAAGGAATGTGTATATCTTATTAATGACATGGCATGGTCAAGGTGAGCTTCAGAGCCCAAGCAATACAATTTGCAGTATCGACCAAAGTCCACTGGTAAATCTACAAGTTGTACAGCTTTCTCTTTCCCCACACTAAAACTCTAATAAGTTTACCATTTCAATCCTTTAATTTATGCATTCATTCAACATACAAGTCAAAAATAAAAAGGGAATGGAAGGCCATGGTAACAGTGACAGTTGCAGGTAGAATAAAAGTCGGGACGGCATAGATGGTTTTGGCATGTAAAGTTGAGTTTATTTTGTTATACAACATTTTGATTCAGTTGCAGGAAGATAGAAGAATCAAGAGACATGATAGGAGGGGTGATTTTGGCATGTAAGTCCAGTTTATTTTGTTATATGCCAAATTAATACGTGTGCACCTGAGCAAAAATGAAAAAAAAAGAGCAAAAGATTATGCATGTACTAGTTGTATGGGATTTTTTGCGGTTGTAACAGACAAAAACAAGCACCCCTCTCCCGGGGGTGAATTTTGATGAATGCCAGCTTATTGGTTACCACTTTTATGAGGCAACATCATATACTCCAAGATGTGGGCCTGGTGGCAACTTGGTTAGTGGGGTGCGGCATGCCAGTTGAAGCAATGTTTTTAAAGGCTATTGAGGCGAGGTTAGAAAAAAGAAAGGTTTGGCCTCAATAGTCTCAATCTCACCAACAATGCTTAGGCCTTGAATTGTTTGAGATTTATGCCTTTGGGCCTTTCTCTTTGTAACGTTCAAGGCTTGAGTCTCATGCTAATGTTGAATATGAAGATTTACATATGGAAAAAACAGAGTTTTAAGACGAAAAAAAAAAGAATAGAATTTGGATTCACCGTCAAATATCCACTGATACTTTTTAAACTCATTCATTCAATCCATCGAGCAACAAGTTTGAAGTTCAAATTATCGACTGGGACCTTTATAGTTTTATGCTCTATTTTGTAGTTCAATCTTAAATCTTCTATAATTAGTTCCATTCCGTGTCTTGTTCTTTTTCAAAGTTAAACTTTTTTAACCTCAAACTCGTTCATTCAAACCATCGAGCAACTTTAAGTTTTCTTTTTCTTCTTCATGCTGTCTGGTAGTTCAATCTTAAATATTCTATAATTAGTTCCATGCCGTGTCTTGTTAGTTTTCAAATTTCAGTATTAGTTCTTAAATTTTAGTAGATTGTTTTGTACTTTATACTTTGTTTTATATCAGCATATTGCACAAATGAATAAATATAAAAATAACAAATAAATTTATACCACCAATGTATAATAAAATAGCTTGTTCTGTTGTTCATGGTCTGTATTGTTTATGGTCTGTTCTTATATAATTGATAATCTATTTCTTTTAAAACATATAATGAGATGATTCTTCACTAACACATAGGTGCAATAATATTGTTCTTATAGTATTTAAATTTTAGAAAAAAAAAACTTTGGTTGGATTCAAATCTGTGTAATATATCAAAAAAGATAGATAAAATTATATAATATCTTAATTTTATGTTTTTACATGTTTATATTTATGAATTATTTCCATGGCATTTTAATTTCTTTCGCTTAAGGTTTATGCCCCACAATGCCTGAGGTTTATACCTTGCCCCTATAACACCCAACTGCCTCACTTCTGTCTTTAGCCTTTTAAAACATTGGGCTTAAGAACAATTGACCAAGTCTCAAAATATTGGTATCACATATCACATTGTAAAATTTGGAAGATAGTACGTGTATAGATACACTTTTGATATACATGGATATTTTAGAAAAACGCATTTGGAAAACTTTTATAAAACCCATAAATACATCAATAACACTAAATTTAATGTTCAAATAACTATGAATAAAGTGTAAACATATGATAAATGCATAATTCAATTGTTTATATGGAGAGATATTACTATTGCTGTTCAATCTAGAACATAAGGCCATAAGGGTAATTATGGCCTTATCAAGGGAATTTGTTGGAGACCTCTGGGGGTTGTTACTTGCATATACATAGAAGAACATTAGAGGCCCTAGGTGATATCCCAAGAAGTCAGCAAGGCAAGAATAATGATATGTGAGTTGAGGATCTTTGAGAATATAACAGAGTAAATACCGTGAGAAGAGGTGTACAGGGTGGGGTGTGGTAGGAGTGTCCAAAGAGTTAGAACAAATAAGGGGCTCACCTATTTATAGGAGGGGGGCCTTACCTTAGAGTAGGCACGTCGTCCACACATGGTCAATGGTTTGATCCACTTGTCATGCTCACGGTTGACATGATATGTACATGTGGTTGGTTGTGGGCCCACCCTAAATGTGTTGGATTTGGTGGTCTAATCAACTTGGTTGTGTGTACTACTCAATGATCCCAATTCTACATGTGGCATTTGCCATAGTTCCACTTGGATGCTCGCATGTCATGGGCTTGCATGCACATGTCAGATTTGTTCAGTCATCTCCATGTGAGTAAAACATGGATCACAGATACGCTATTTGTTCAATGTTATCTAAAAATAGTTGAAAACCCAAAAATAATGCATGCATGGGTTGTGCTTAGTTTGGTTTGGTCCGATTATTAATGTCACACTATTCTTAGGGGTGCAACTTGGGTGGATTGGGTTAGGCTGGTGATCAAACAAAGCCTAACCTGAAGTCTTAAACCTTAAGTTCAGGCTTAGATTAATTTAATTATGATTAAAAAGTTAATTTGTAGATAAATTTAATCATGACTAATAGCCTAATTTTATATATTTATTAATATTTAAGTATTTTAAATATGACTACTATACCCTAACTGGTTAATTGTTAGAAAATTATAATTAGAAACCTAATAACTAAAATTAATAAAAATATTAAATTTTAGCAAGACTATCATTTGAATTCTATTTAAAAATAATTAATGTTAATAGGATAATTAAAATTAATAATAAAAAGTAACAAACCATTTTGATTCCATATAAAATTATAAAAATTAATTAAAATAATAAAAATAATAATGGCCTAATTAGAAATATCATAAGACTCCTTTTACTTAGGGATGATCATTTATAACTTAGCCAACCTGGCTAGACCTATAAATTTTTGGGCTCAAGCAACTATTTTCTATTGAGCTAGGTCTAGCTTGAATCTACACCAAGCCTACACATAATGTGGGTAGTAGGGCTATAAACAAATCAAATGCAAATCGAATCTAGCTGCACACACATCTACATTTGATTATGAAATCTCTAGATCCACATCCACATTTGATTATTATTATTATTATTATTATTATTATTATTATTATTATTATTATTATTATTATTATGCTGGATTTTGGATTTAATCCACAACCATCTTGTTGTGTTTAACAAATTTTTATATTAATATAATATTTAGATAACAATTTTTTATAGATTAAAATTAAATACAAAAGTTCATTTGTAAAAAAATTATAATTTTATAATAAACACGGGCAAGTCTATCATTGTCATAGGCCTAGACAATTATTATTTTACTTGAGGTGTGGGGTAGGCTGAGCCAAGCAATCTTAAAAACTGTTATTCGCTATCAAAGTCTAGCCTGAGATCCTTTATTTTCTTTGCTCATTGAGCTACACAATGGGGATTGGCCAATCCCCCATAGCTACACAATGGGAGCTACCCAATAATGCATGCATAGGTTTGTGTTCGGTTTGATCCGGTCCAATTATGAATGTTGTCGTTGTTCTTAGGGGTGCAACTTGGGTGGGTTGGTTCAAGTTGAGGGTCAACCCAAGCTCAACCCGAAATCTTAAACCTCAAACTTTGCTTAAATTAATTTAATTATGAGTAAAAAGTTAATTTGCGGATGAACTTAGGGGATGTTTGGAATCGTGCCGTTTTTCAAAAAAACGGTGCCACATCGGATCCACATAGGTGAATCATTTCCCCCAACAGTTGACTGTGTATCCTATGTGGTACTTACCTGTCAGCACATACATGAAAAACGGTGATGAAAATCACCTTACCAAACAGCATAGTGTTGTTCATTGCCTATGTGGCAGAAGCGTTTTTTTTTTTTTTTTTGTGAAAAACGGGTCTTGGAAGCACGGGCTAATTATGACTACAATCCAATTTTATATATTTACTAATATTTAAGTAATATTTACAATTTACATACATACATACTAAAACAAGGAAGTCATTTTTATCATTTTTTTTAATTTTTTGTTTTTTATTCCATATTATTTTTTAAGTAACCAATGGGAGCCAAAAAAAAGTCTACCTAAAATCTCTCTCTCTCTCCTCATCAAGGTAGCTTTTAATGGACTATTGGACTATACCCCACTGTAATTCTGATTAAAAGAAAGATGAGTTTTTTTTCTTTTTGTCAAATTAATGAAAGAATATCAAATTACTTGTATATTTAGATGATAAACGCTCTTGCTTTTCCCATGATGTTTGCATTTCCTGTGATGTTTGCAACATTACATCACCAAGAGCATATTTCAGTGTCCCAACGTGTGCTCGATTGTAGGTACTTCTCCGTTGTACTTAGTTTGATCTATTTATATTCCTATGGCCGATCGGGCTAATTTTTTATGAGGCTAGTTTTGTTAAAGCTCTGGTTTTATGCCTAGCTTTCTCAATATATAAGACAGAATTTCATAATATATCCTACTCTGCAAAGAGCTCAGTTCTAATTTCTGTTACTAAAGGTACTTATGTGCTTATTTTTCTCTCGATTGTCTTCTTTGTGATAATGACAATTGTCTTCTTCTTTTTCCATGAAAGGGCAAAATAGAATTTTAAAAGTTTAAATGAATCCACATGCGAGGTTTCGTTGATGGAGGGTGTGTTTAAGTCTAGTGGGGTCAATCTACAAGGTATGTTTAAGTGTATTTGAAAAACCAGTATACGTTTTAGTCAATTTATGAAAACTTAGGGTATGTCATGTTTGAGAGTACTTAAAAATAAGTATTTATTCAAATAAGCACTTATTTTGGGCGGGATCACACCATTAAGCACTTATTAACATTTGAGAAATAAGCTCGAAATAAGTGTCTATTTTAAAAACAAAAACTTATTTTTTAAGCCCAAATTTCCAGTTTTTTTAATGCTTATATAATAAGCACTTTTTCAATTTCTTTGTTCCAAAATTATCCTTAGTTGGATTTTGAAATACCACTTATGCCCTTCTCCATCGTCTTCTCCAACAATCTGTCCTAATGGGTAGGTTGGCAACGACGGTCCGCTGAGCTTCACTCCTTAATCTTTTTGGTTGCAATGCAGCTCTGTTTTCAACTTCAACTGCAACCGATACAAATTCAAACTTAAATTTCACAAATGCCCGAACCTGGAGGCTGGAATGAAGTGTTCTGCTCTTAGGGTCTGTCTTGGACTCACACTCTTGGTCCTGTGGATCCGGTCTAAGCTTGAAACAGTAGCTATACCAAGCACAACCGCTACTGTTGTTGTTGAATCATCGTAAGAGTAAGTTTCCAATGGATTGTTTTTGGGGCAATCCAAGTGTCGTGTTGGTGTTGTTTCTCAGCTCAGAGCCTCAGATCTCTCAGAAATCAGAACCATCT